GAGCCGAGATTGCGCCACTGCACTCTAGCCTGGTGAGAGAGCAAGACTCCATCTTAAAAAAAAAAAAAAAAAAATGTCTCCGTATGTATTCACTGTTTAAAATTTTGAGTTGAAGCCATCAATGTGCATTTGGTCGTGTAAATGCAGAAGATAGAAATGAAGTTCTGTAGGGCATGTTGTATAAACACGGCAATTGAAGGGATGGAGACCAGTGAATTTCATTTCAGAGTGCCTTGATGCAGGTTGGAACCATGCCTATACTTGAGAAATTAGGCAACAACCCATGAGAACAAAAACCTTTGATGGTAGAAGATGAATAGAGTTTGTGGCGACTATATTTCACATTTGAGCACCTACAACATACTACATTCTGTGTGTCTGAGACCAACAAAATAGAATAAGGCAGAATGTTAAACTTGGGGAACAAATGTAAAGGTATTGTTCACCGTCACAAGAATAATCATTATTCAAATGCCTGATGTTAAAAATAATTTGCATTTGGAGAACTGAAAGGGTGTGTTTTCTTACTTCAGTAGCACATGGATAGCAAATCTACTAGAAAAATTAGGATCTGTTGAAAGCAGCTACATTATCAGAAACTGACTTGGCATTTAGAAAAGGTGATTGTGTTGTAGTTGCTAACAATAATGATCAAAAAACAGTCAGATATCAGAATAAAAGTTGACTCAGAAACAGTGGATTTAAAATAATGGTTTTCATTTATTACAGATTGAGCATCTACTGTGTGCCATATATATAGGTGCTGGTGATACAAAAATGAGCCTGACATGTTCTTTAGGAGAGCATAAAAAATGTTGCAACATTACTGCCACACCTTATGTGGCAACTACACTCACTATGCCTCATACACACAATAGTTAGTGGTGGTTGGAGGCATATCTCCCATCTCACACTTGAGGAAACCAAGTCCCAACCAGGCCAAGTGATCTAAGTTAGGCCACAGGGTTAGCATGCAAGTCTTCTGTCTCTAATGCCTGTGTTTTCTTCACTATACCCAATTCTCCAGCCTAAAGCTGATTTATATGAAACATGAAATAATCAACTAAAATGACCGTAATATAAAAGAATAATTTGGCCTGGCACAGTGGCTCATGCCTATAATCCCAGCACTTTGGGAGGCTGAGGCAGCTGGATCACTTGAGGTCAGGCATTCGAGACCAGCCTGGCCAACATGGTGACACTCCATCTCTACTAAAAAATTAACTGGGTGTGGTGGCACTCGCCTGTAATCCCAACTATTTGGGTGGCTGAGGCACAAGCATCACTTGAACCCGGGAGGTGGAGGTTGCAGTTAGCCAAGATCATGCCACTGCACTCCAGCCTGGGGAACAGCAAGACTGTGTCTCAAAAAAAAAAAAGAATTAGGATTGTCAAAATGAAATGAATTCTTCTTTTTTTTTTGAGATGGAGTCTTGCTCTGCTTTGCAGGCTAGAGTGCAGAGGCATGAGCTTGGCTCACTGCAGCCTCTGCCTCCTGGGTTCAAATGATGCTGCTGCCTCAGCCTCTCGAGTAGCTGGGACTATAGGCATGTGCCACCAAGCCCAGCTTATTTTTGTGTTTTTTAGTAGTAATGGGGTTTTGCCATGTTGGTCAGGCTGATCCCGAACTCCTGACCTCAAGTGATTCAATTCTCCTTCTTCAAAGTGGCCCACTTCTCTAGGTTTCTCCTGCTACAGAGCATAGAGGGGTTGGAGCCCTGTGCCACCTCCCTCCTCTTGCTCCCACAAAGTATGCTGACAGAATAGACCAGTGCCAGCCACTAAATTGACTGTTCATCAGATGAATGGGTTGTCTTTTTTTTAAGGGTGCTGAGACTGTTCAAGGGCTCTTAGAGGTGGCCAAAGACTCAATCCCCCGAAGTCACTGGAAAAAGACCCCAGTGGTCCTGAAGGCAACAGCAGGACTGCGTTTACTGCCAGAACACAAAGCCCAGGCTCTGCTCTTTGAGGTAAGTTTTAAAACTGCATCTTGGATAATTCTGCCCTTTTCCCTATATGAATACTTTGAGTTTTTAGCCTTTTGGAATGTGACCACTACCTTCAATATTCCACCACTGCCAAAGCACTGTGATGATTCTGACCTCTTGTTATGTATATAGCTAATTATTTACATTTTTAACTATCACTCTTAAATGTATAGAGCTTTTTCTAAAAAATTTAAAGTACTTTCTATCTAGGATAGTCTTCATTCTTTTAACTTTTTAAAGCACAATCAATTTTTTAAAAATCAACTTTATTAAGATAAACTTACGTACAATAAAATGTATCTATTTTAGCCCCAGCATGGTGGCTCACACCTGTAATCCTAGCACTTTGGGAGGCCAAGGTGGGCAGATTGCCTGAGATCAGGAGTTCGAGACAAGCCTGGTTAACATGGCGAAACCCTGTCTCTACTAAAAATATAAAAATTAGCTGGGCATTGTGGTGCACACCTGTAGCCCCAGCTACTTGGGAGGCTGAGGCAGGAGAATTGCTTCAACCTGGGAGGCGGAGGTTGCAGTGAGCTGAGATCATGCCACGGCACTCCAGCCTGCACAACAGAGTGAGACTCCATCTCAAAAAAAAAGAAAAAATTGTCTATTTTAGGTGTACACTTAAATGAGTTTTGACAAGTTATAGAAATTTCCTCATGCTCTTTCATAGTTTCCCTCACCCCTGAAACCAAGCAATCACTAATTTGCTTTCTGTCACTATAAATAAGTTTTGCTTATTCCTTCTTTTCATTTAAATTGAATCACAGTTTTTATTTTTATTTTTTTTGGTCTGGCTTTTTTCCTCTCAGCATAAAGTCTTTGAGAAGAAGAATGGAATTTTAAAGTTTGAATTCTTTTTTTTAGATAATAGTCTTACTCTGTTGTGCAGGCTGGAGTGCCGTGGCATGATCTCAGCTCACTGCAACCTCCGCCTCCCAGGTTGAAGCAATTCTCCTGCCTCAGCCTCCCTGGTAGCCAGGACATGCCACCATGCCCAGCTAATTTTTTGTATTTTTAGTAGAGACAGGGTTTCGCCATGTTAACCAGGCTTGTCTCGAACTCTTGAGCTCAGGCAATCCACCTGCCTTGGCCTCCCAAAGTGCTAGGATTATAGGTACAGATGGGAGCCACCACACCTGGTCAAGTCATATATATATTTTTTTCTTTTTTTTGAGACAGAGTCTCTCTCTGTTGCCCAGGCTGGAGTGCAGTGGCATGATCTTAGCTCACTGCAACCTCTGCGTCCTGGGCTTAAGCAATTCTTCAGCCTCAGCTTCCCGAGTTGCTGGGATTACAGGCACATGCCACCACACCTGGCTAATTTTTGTATTTTTAATAGAGACAGTTTCACTATGTTGGCCAGGGTGGTCTTGAATTCCTGGCCTAAAAGTGATCCACCCGCTCCAGCCTCCCAAAGTGCTGGGATTACAAGCATGAGCTATTACATGCAGCCCCAAGTCATATATTTCAAACTCCTTTCTTATTCAAATAAAAAATTTAAGTATAGAGAATTTTGTTAAACTCAGTATTTTTATTTTTATTCTTATTTATTTATTTGAGAGATGGAGACTTGCTGTGTCACCCAGGCTGGAGTACAGTGGTATGATCTTGGGTCACTACAACCTCTACCTCCCAGGTTCAAAGGTTCAAGTGATTCTCCTGCCTCAGCTTCCCAAGTAGCTGGGGCTACAGGTATGCGCCACCACTTTCAGCTAATTTTTGTATCTTTTAGTAGAGATGGGGTTTCACTATATGTTGCCCAGGCTGGCCTCAAACTCCTACCCTCAGGTGATCTGCCTCCCGAAGCACTGGGATTACAGGTGTGAGACATTGTGTCCAGCCAAACTCAATATTTGTAAATTTTATTGTACATATTTGTTATGCAATAACATGTAAGTTAATAAGATTTAAATTTCATGTTGTGAAGAATATAAGCAGAATCTCATAATAACAAAAAAATTGGGTTCAGTGGTTCAAGCCTGTCATCTCAACATTTTAGGAGGCCAAGGCAGGAGGATTGCTTGAGGCCAGGAGTTTGAGACCAGTTCAGGCAACAAAGCAAGACCCCTATTTCTATAAAGAAAAGTAAGGCCGGATGTGGTGGCTCATGCCTGAAATCCTAGCACTATGGGAGGCTGAGGCTGGCAGATGACCTGAGGTCAGGAGTTTGAGACCAGCATGGCCAACATGTTTGAAACCCGATCTCTACTAAAAATACAAAAATTAGCTGGGTGTGGTGGCTCACATGTGTAGTCCCAGCTAGTCAGGGGGCTGAGGCAGAGGAGAATCGCTTGAACCTGGGAGGCGGAGGTTGTAGTGAGCTAAGATCATGCCACTACACTCAAGCCTGGGTGATTGAAAAAAAGAAAATTGAAACTAAAAATCACAGCAGGCTGGGCACAGTGGCTCACACCTGTAATCCCAGTACTTTGGGAGGCTGAGGCGGGAGGATCACCTGAGGTGAGGAGTTCAAGACCAGCCTAGCTAACATGGTAAAACCCCATCTCTACTAAAAATACAAAAATTAGCCGGGTGTGGTGGCAGGTGCCTGTAATCCCAGCTACTCAGGAGGCCGAGGCAGGAGAATCACTTGAACCCAGGAGGTGGAGGTTGCAGCAAATTGAGATTGCACCATTGCACTCTAGCCTGAGCGACAAGAGTGAAACTCTGTCTCAAAAAAAAAAAAATCACAGCAGAAAAGGACTTTGTATTACAGGTGTACTAATTCAGTCCCCTAAATCTGTTTTCCTCTGACTGTCATTACAGAGGACCTAAGTTCCTTATCCAAGGACAAGCAGCCTACTATGTCTCTGTGAGAACCTGAATCCTGATTCCTCATTTATTCAACATAAGAGTGCTTACTATGTACTAGGTGCTGGTGAAGTTACTGGAATACATTCAGCAGGGAACCAAAAAGACAAAAATGGCCTTTGCTTTCCTGGAGCTTACATTCTACTTTCAGGAAGACAGAAAATGAACAACTGAACAAGTCAAAAGAAAGTTATATCAGGTGCTATAGATGCTATGGAGGAAAAAAAAAAAAAACAGGGAAAGGCAGGTAGGGAATCTCGTGATGGTGTGGGGGAAATGCTATTTCAAATAGGGCAGTCAAGGAAGATATCTTTGATGAACTTCAGTTGATCAGAGATTTGAGGGGGATGAAGCAGCAAGTTATACGAGACATTTGGCCGGACACAGTGGCTCACACCTATAATCCCAGCACTTTGGGAGTCAGGAGTCAAGACCAGCCTGACCAACATGGTGAAACCCTGTCTCTACTAAAAATACAAAAATCAGCTGGACGTGGTGGTGGGCACCTGTAATCCCAGCTACTCAGGAGGCTGAGGCAGGAGAATTGCTCAAACCCAGGAAGTGGAGGTTGCAGTGAGCCAAGATCAAGCCATTGTACTGTAGCTGGGGTGATAGAGGTAGACTCCGTCTCAAAAAAAAAAAAATTTGTGGGAAGAATATTCTAGGCTAAAGAAACAACAGGGGCAAAGACCAGAGGCAGGAATTTGCATGATATGTTAGGAACAGCATCCAGGTCAACATAGCTGGAGAGGAATGAGAGATAAATGGGAGGTAAAGTCAGAGAGACAGGGCTAAGGGGTGCTTATCATGTAGGATCTCAAAGGCCAGTATAATCACTTTGCCTTTTTTTTTTTTTTTTTGAGATGGAGTTTTGCTGTTGTTGCCCAGGCTGCAGTGCAATGGCTCTGTCTCCGCTTACTGCAACCTCCACCTCCCAGGTTCAAGCAACTCTCCTGCCTCAGGTGGGATTACAGGCATGCACCATCACACCCGGCTAATTCTGTATTTTTAGTAGAGATGGGATTTCACCATGTTGGTCAGGCTGGTCTCCAAATCCTGACCTCAGGTGATCGCCTGCACTTTGGCTTTCTCTATAAGAAGGAAGCCATGGTCAGGCTCAGTGGCTCACACCTGTAATTCCAGCATTTTGGGAGGCCAAGGTGGGAGAATCACAAGGTCAGGAGATCGAGACCATCCTGGCCAACATGGTGAAACCCTGTCTCTACTAAAAAATACAAAAATGAGCTGGGCATGGTGGCGCACACCTGTAGTCCCAGCTACTTGGGAGGCTGAGGCAGGAGAATTGCTTGAACCCAGGAGGCAGAGGTTGCAGTGAGCCGACATCGAGCCATTGCACTCCAGCCTGGCACCTGGCAACAGAGAGAGACTCTGTCTCAGAAAAAAAAAGAAAGAAGCCACTGGAAGGTTTTTTGATGGTTTTTTTGTTTGTTTTTAGACAAAGTCTTACTCTTGTTGCCCAGGCTGGAGTGCAGTGGTGTGGTCTCGGCTCACCGCACCTTCTGCCTCCTGGGTTTAAGTGGTTCTCCTGCCTGATCAGCCTCCTGAGTGGCTGGGATTACAGGTGCCCACCACCATTCTAATTTTTTTGTATTTTTAGTAGAGACGGGGTTTCACCATGTTGGCCAGTCTGGTCTTGAACTCCTAACCTCAGGCGATCCACCCACCTCTGCCTCCCAAAGTGCTGGGATGACAGGTGTAAGCCACCATGCCCGACTACCACTGGAAGGTTTTGAGCCAAGGAAAGATGTGATTTGACAT